GTTCTATTCAAAAAGAAGACTTAACCATCCCAAAAATATATGCACTCAGCATTGGAGCACCCATATTCATAAAATGAGTACTTCCAGACCTATAAAAAGATGTAGAAACACACTCAATAATATTGGGTGACTTCAACACCCCACTGAAAACATTAGACAGATTACTGAGGCAGAAAACTAACAAGAAAATTCTGGACTCTTGATAAAAAGTCCTCAAAAGCGATTGCAACAAAAAAACCCTCAACAAAATAGGCATTGAGGGAACATACTCAAAATAATAAGAGCTAACCATGACAAAACTACAGCCAACATTATATTGAACATGCAAAAGCTGAAAGTATTCCCCTTGAGAATTGGAACATGAGAATGGCCCCCCCCTTACCACTCCCATTCAACATAGTACTGGAAGGCCTAGCCAGAATAATCAAGCAAGAAAAATAAATAAAATGCATCCAAATAGAAAAAAAAAAAAATAGCCAAATTGTATCTCTTTGCTGATGATATGATTCCAGACCTAGAAAACCCTAAAAACTCTGCCAAAAGGCTCCTGGCACAGATAAAGTACTTCTGTGAAGTTTCGGGATACAAATCAATGCACAAAAATCAGTAGTATTTCTCTACACTAAAAATCTTCAAGCTGAGAGTCAAATCAAGATTGCAATCCCATTTACCATAGCCTTAAAAAAAAAAAAAAAAAAAAAAAAAACTAGGAATACAGCTAACTAGCTAGCTAAAAAAGGAGGTAAAAGAGAACTGCAAAACACTGCTGGAAGGAATCATAGATGATATAAATAAATGGAAAAATATTCCATGCTCATGGATAAGAAGAATCAATATTGTTAAAATGATCATACTGCCCAAAGCAATTTACAGATTCAACCCTATTTCTATCAAGCTATCAATGCCATTTTGCACAAAACGAGAAAAAAATACTATTTTAAAATAATATATAATCAAAAAAAGAGCCCAAGTAGCAAAAGCAATATTAAACAGAAAGAACAAAGCCAGAGGAATCACACTACCTGACTTCAAACTATACTATAGAGCTAAAGTAATCAAAACAGCATGGCAGTGGTATAAAAACAGACACATAGACCAATGGAATATGATTATTCTGGCTAGTATAGAGAATCCAGAAATAAAGACATGAAAACTAAAGCCATCTGATGTTTGACCAAGTTGACAAAAATAAACAATGGGGAAAGGACTCCCTATTCAATAAACGGTGCTAGGATAACTGGCTATCCATATGCAAAAGAATAAAACTGAATGCTTACCTTTCACCATGTACAAAAATTAACTCAGGATGGATCAAAAATTTAAGCGTAAGACTTCACACTACAATAATCCTGGAAGAAAACTTAAGAAACACCATTCTAAACATTGGCTTTGGGAAATAATTTATGACTAAGTCCTCAAAAGCAATTACAATAAAAACAATAATTGACAAGTGGGACATAACTAACTAAAGAGCTTCTGCACACATGTAAAGAAACTATCAACAGAGTAAACAGACAACCTGCAGAATTTAAGATTTGCAAACTATGCATGCGACAAAGGTCTAATATCCCAAATCTACAAATATCTGAAACAATTGAACAAGCAGAAAACAAATGAAACTTTTAAAAATGAGCAACAGACATGAACAGGCTCTTCTCAAAAGAAGACATACAAGCAGCCAGCACACATTTAAAAATGCTCAATATTGTTAATCATTAGAGACACGAAAATGAAAACCACAAAAAGGTACTATCTCACACCAGTCAGAATGGCTACCATCAAACAGTTAAAAAGAGCAACAGATGCTAGTGAAGCTGTGGAGCAAAGGGAACACTTATACCCTGTTGGTGGGCATGCAAATTACTTCAGCCACTGTAGAAAGCAGTTTGGAGATTTCTCAAAGAACTTAAAACAAACTATCATTTAGCCTAGCCAATCCCATTGCTGATATATGTTCACAAGAAAATAAATCATTCTACCAGAAAGACACCTGTACTCGCATGTTCATTGCAGCGCTATTCACAATAGCAAAGGCATGGAATCAACCTACATGCCCATCAACAGTGGATTCGAGGCCAGGTGTGGTGGCTCACACCTGTAATCCCAGCACTTTGGATTGTCAAGGTGGGCAGATCACCTGAGATCAGGAGTTTGATACTAGCCTGGCCAACATGGCAAAACCTTGTCTCTACTAAAAATACAAAAATTACTCAGTCGTGGTGGCATGCACCTGTAGTCTCAGCTACTTGGGAACCTGAGGCAGAAGAATTGCCTGAACCTGGAAGGTGGAGGCAGCAGTGAGTGTAGATCATGCCACTGCACTCCAGCCTGGGCAACAGAGTGAGACTCTGTTTCAATAAATAAATAAATAAATAAATAGATTAGACCAAAAGAGTGTGGTACATATACACCATAGAATACCATGCAGCCATAAAAAAAAGTGAAATCATGTCATTTGCGGCAACATGGATGCAGCTAGAGGCCTTTGTCCTGAGTGAATTAATGCAGAAACAGAAAACCAAATACTGCATGTTCTCACTTGTAAATGGGAACTACACAATTTTAACTAACACTTCTAAGTGATAGAATTGTGAATTGTACCTCTGACTCCAGACTCAGCCTTTAACTATTATAGTGCTTTTTATGGGGACCACATGAGTACAGAGGTGAAAATACTGACAGATATTGAAAGATGCTATTAAGTAAACAAATTACAAGACAATTCAGAGAAATTAATGTTAAAAATGATAATATTACTTCTCTCACTTACCTGATTTTCAAGTAAACCTATTAGGGAGATCCTTTCTAAAAAGAAAAAAAAAAGAAAATGAGAACGATCAAGTAGATAGTACTATTGAAATAGGTTATTAAAAATGCATGTGGTATTACAAAAGAACCTGTTCTGACAGTAAATGAAATCAGGCTTTCTGTCATTATCGACAAAGATAACTGTGCCTAATTGCAGATATTTATTGCAGCCGATTTATTTAAAAAACCATTGAATTTGAAAGCAAAAAAGTAAAAAATAATTTTCTTGTAGGAAATTGATTATTGAACTGCACTAAAAGTTTTTGATGTCTTCTCTGAAAGACTCTGTAAAGAAAATGAAATGAAAAATCTCTGTCTGGCAGAAAATATTGATAAAACATGTCTGATAAAGAACTTATATTCAGACTGATATGGTTTGGCTGTGTCCCCACCCATGTCTCATCTTGAATTGTAGCTCCCATAATTCCCACATGTTGTGGGAGGGACTCAATGGGAGATACCAGAATCATGGGGCAGTTTCCACCATACTGTTCTCATGGTAGTGAATAAGTCTCATAAGATTTGATGTTTTTATAAGGAGTTTCCCTTTTTGCATGGCTCTCATTCTCTCTTGACTGCCACCCTATAAGACATGCCTTTCACCTCCCCATAATTGTGAGGCTTCTCCAGCCATGTGGAACTGTGAGTCAATTAAACCTCTTTTTCTTTGTGAATTACCCAGTCTTTAGTATGTCTTTATCAGCAGCATGAAAATGGACTAATATACATATGATATAAAGAACTTTTATAAATCAGTAACAAAAACAGAAAGCAACAAATCAAGCTAAATAATTGACAAAAGGTTTAAACAAACACTTCATAAAAAGAGTTTTTATGAAGGACTCAAAAGCACATAAAAACAAAAGTTCAGCCTCAATAGCCATTAGGAAAATGTGAATTAAAACTACGATGAGATGCCATTACATTCTGACTAGAATGGCCAAATGAAAAACAAACAGAACAGATATACCTAGCAATTACTGGTCAGAATGTGAAATAACTGAACTCTCATATATTGCTGGCAATAATATGAAATGGCACAACCACTCTACAGAACTCTGGCAGTTGTAAGTTAAATATACACTTAACATATGATTTGACAGTTTTACTCATAGGTATTTACTCAACAGTGATGAAATCATATATCCAGAAGAAGAGACATACATTAATGTTGTTACCAATTTTATTTATAATGGCCAATGATTGAGAACCATTCAAATGTTCATTAACAGGCAAGAGAAATGTTTTAATGCGGTATATACAATACTACTCAGGAGTACTGCTCAGAAACAAACTACTGATCCGTACAACAAAATATGAGCTGAACCTCAAAAACATTATGCTGAGTTAGCAAAGCCTCACATATAACAGTACACATTGTGACTGTATATATATGCATAAAATTTTAGAAATCAAAGAACTCTCTTATAGTTACCAAAAGCAGATAAGTAGTTGCTTGGAAGGAAGGGCTGGTGGGGAGAGGATGGACTGAAAACGGCGTTGGCGCTGTGGTCACACAGGTGTATTTGGTGTCAAAACTCTAAAATGTGTGCTAACATGTTGCATTTTATGTAAATTCTACCTCAGTAATATTTATTTTAAAAGGCATAATGTAAAATATGCATATACACATATACACAATATAGTCTCTAAAAAGCAAAGTTATCTTTTTATGTGGCAGTTATTCATATTAAACTTTTTAACCTTCTCAATTCTCTCAACTCATCAGTATAGAAATAGTTGCAAGTCCACATGTCCCTTGTTTCTGTTCCAAATAACTGTTCTAGTTATCCATAATTCACTATTTAAATAGGAGTACATGATATAGAAAATAATTACCTACATCACCCGTCCTAATGAGTGATTTAGAATTGAAGAGCACTGCCAAACAAAAGGTTGTAGATTTACAATTAACATCTAATTATGCCGTAGTGTATGTTTTTAAATTACAATAGAATCTACCAATGGTTTCCTCAAATAAGTCTCAAATTCCTGATAATGTGGACATATACATCATAAATGCATACTATTCTTAGGTAATACGCTGTTCTAGAGAAGAATTTAAAAAGTTTACAACGACCTTCACAATAGAAGAAACGAGGGAAGTATAAAATATCTCTTAGGCTCCTGTTTTTGTCTACAACATACAATAATGTATGATCTGAATGACTTATGAAATTGTGGGTTCCTCATCATTTAGCCCATACCTTAGCTGCCACCGAAAGAGAGGCCTGTCTTAACTTAGGGTTTCCTAGAATCAGAAGAAGGGAGTGACATGAAGGATAGAAAGCTCCAATCGCCTGACAAAGCATCTCAACCAGTTTGTTGTGATACAGGTCAGAAATCCATGATATGAGTATAGATAGACAGAAACTGGCATAGAGTAAAAGGAATGAGATCACAATTTTCAAGGCATTTATGTGGACCTTGGTCCTGGGGTCTCTCTGCTCTTTGTAATTCAGCTGCATTTTCTGGAGATGTTTCCACAGGGAGAAAATCAACAGGAGAAAAGAGATGAGGGCCACAGTAAATGGTGTTAGACTGAACATAGTCGTAGTGAATTTGACCGACACTGAAAATGTTGCAAAGTCACTCATACTGAAATTCCAAGATGTGTTTCCTTCACATCGATACAGCCATTCTTTAAAATGAATGTTTATTTTTAACAGATTTAAAAATAAGAAGACCAAAGTTCCTAGCAGAATCATCAGAATCACTTTATTTACTCTCCACTTCAAATAGAGAAAAGCAGGGCTAGAGAAACTGGCGATTCTGAGCAAATAAAAGATGCTGAGGATTGTAGCAAGCCAGAGACTGAAGTGATTAGAAACTGTCCAGCTAAAAATAATACTTCTTAATCCTGTTCCAGTCACAAATGTAGCTGGATGATGCAGAAATACAAACTGACTTATTAAAGTTTCCCAGATCAGCCCAATTCTGGAGATTGCCAAGATAATGAGGATTTGATCAACTGGGGACAACTGTCTTTTACTGACCCATTCAATGCAGTTTATGAGTACTATGAATCCATTGCTCAAGTTCCCAATTATGAATTCTGCATTATTATAAGAGTGAAGATACTCTGCAGCACACTTTCCATGTCAGAACAGAAAAAGTTCAAAGTCTAAAGGCACCGCTGGTTATTCACTGCTCTAAAATGCTATTCATATTCTTTAGTGCATGACGAAATTCTTCTTCCTTTTCCTTTTTCTACTGCTTCTTTCATTGTTGGCTCAATGTCAAAGCAGAAATCTCTAAAGTTTGCTGATCGATCTTCACATGGCTGTTCTGGTGAAATCTTTATTTTTCTTCAATTTCTCTGTTGAGCACTAGCTAAGATATTTATGTCCTCACTATCGGCAGAAATAGTTCATAGATGATTTTGAAGCAAACTTAAACTCACATTTGCAACCATGCAAATAAAGATATATTCTCTTTCATTGTTTTGTACTTTTTGCCTTGTCTAAGCTGTAGAAAATTTGAATCAACCAGCTTGAGTTCTGAGTACAAATACTGCATAATTCGTAGAATATGTAGCTAAATGAAGATTTTATGGCTAATAGCACAGCCAATGAAGATTTATAAAACATGCAAAGACAGATCTACACATTTCAAAAGAGTGCTCAACTTCTTGTGGAGCTAAAGCTGGATCTTGTCAATACTGTGACTGAAGAGAAGCTCATCTACAGAGCATCCATCTTTCTCATTCCCTGCCTCTTCACTAATTAGCAGTGCTCACCACCATCCCCCATAGGCACCAAATGCCTTCACATTTTACCCACTTTTCCCTTCATATTTCTTTTCTAAACTGAAAAGTGAGTAAAAATAAATTTTACAAAATCAGTAACAGCTACCAAAGAAAACAGTACCGTATTATGTCATAACTTGCAAAACTGACAACCAAGCAAAGAAACAAATGTACTGGTGCCCCCTTATCCATGAAGGATGTTCCAAGACCCCCAGTGGATGCCTAAAACAGCAGATAGTACCAAATTCTATATACTATATATTTTTTCCTATGTTCACCTCACTATGAAAATTTGAATGTATAAATACATTAAATTTAATGTATAAATCAAGCACCTTTAAGATTACAAAAATAACTAATAATAAAATAGAACAATTAAAACAATATACCATAATAAAAGTTGCCAGGGGTGTTGGCTCATGCCTCTAATCCTAGCAGTTTGGGAGGCTGAGGCAGGACTGCTTGAGCCCAAAAGTTCGAGGCCAGCCTGGGCAACATAGGGAGACCCTGTCTCTAAAATAAATAAAATTTTTTTTTAAAAGTTAAAAGAAATGTTAAAAGTTTTATATAGTATGGTGTCACTCATTCTCTCCAGATATCTTACTGTAGACACCTACTTTTGGACTGTGATTGGCCTTGGGTAGCTGAAACCACAGATAAGGGGAAACTATCTGTTCATTGTGAAGAGTCAAGCTTTCTTACCTCACCCCACTTTTTCAAACAATACCAAAAAAAAAAGTGAATTACCAAAATTCTGAAAACGTGGAGATTCAAGACAAATTGTCTAATTCAAAATTAATGTAAATAAAACACTTTGTTATCTTTATAAGTAGCCATTTTGCTGGATGAAGACAAAGCTATTTTTTTTTAATAAACATATACTTTGTGAATTATAAATGTTTGTATTTTATTACTCTTGCAGTCTTATTGGATAATTTATACAACAGTAAAAAATTTACAAAACAATTTCATCATGTTTGATGATTTGCAAGTTTCAGTATAACTTAAAATAGCTAGGTAGATATTTTCCATTTTTTTTGCTATAATGGTATATTTGTCAAGACAGAATAGGAAATATCTCCTTTTACAGTTTGTTAGCTTTGCATATTTATGCCCTTTAAATATCTAGCTATAAGGCATGTCTTCCTCCATTTTCACACTTGACCCAGGCCTGAAGAGATCTCATACTTTTTCATTTTAGGGTGGTATTCTTATCTATCTAGAGAAAAGAATTTGGGGATGCTGGTCACAACTTTATAATACCCAAAATCTGCACAAAAAGGGCTCCTGAGGGATGGGACAGTGCTTGCATATGAAATAATGCCACATTTTTTAGAACTTGTGACCATAACACATGACAAAGACATAGAGAATGGATAGCAGGCTTGTGGTTCTGAGGTGCATATTCCTGGTGTGTTTTCACAAGAGAAAACATTTAAAAATTTGCCTTAGTGGCAACAACTGATATTTTTTTAAAAAAATTAACAATTGAGTATAGCACATCTAATTTGAGATCATTTGGCCCTGAAATTGGCAAAATTAGATATCAATCTATGCCTTAGTCTGATCATTACAATTCAATTTTCAATGAACTTCCTAAATGTTATCTACCTCTTAATGCAACTTAAACTTCTACTGTAAGAGATATTAAAAAATAAAAATAAAAATATGTATAATGAAAAAATATATATAAATTTCATCAAAGAGATGTAGTCTCTTACTTCTATAAGAGAAAGAGAATATATTGTAGAAAAAAATCACAGAAAGACTTTTTAGCTGTCTAAATTGAAAAGGAAAATGAGGCAAAGGGCTGGAAGTGGAAAGTATAAAAGGTTTGACTATATAAAGTATTTTTTAAGCCACTGATGAATTCAGTTTGCCAATGTTGTATTAGGATTTTTCCATCTACATATAAGGAATATTGATATTTAATTTTTATTTCTCATATTGTGCCTATCAGCTTTGGTATTGTTTGCTAACCTCATATCATTTATTTAGAAACATTCATTTTTTTTTTCATTTTTACTGCTTTTTTTTCTTACATATAACAATTACAGAACATTTTATGGAGTATAAGTGCAATATTATAAAGCGCACATTAATTTAAACACCTCCCATGTCAAGAAAGAGAATTTTGTAAACATACCTTATATGCTGCTTTCTAATCATAAGCCTTGTCTTCATTCCAGAAGTAACAACTATCTGCAATTCAAATCACTTTATTGTTTAACTTTGTATATTTTACATTTAAGTATATATCCCTAAGCACTAGCTTGGTTTTGCCTGGTTTTGGATTGCACATGAATGGAGTAATACTGTACATATTCTTTTTGAATTTAACTATTTTTTAATCAATATTTTGCTTTAGAAATTAATCACGTTGCATATAGAGATAGATAATTTATTCAATTGATTCATAGCATTAATGGAATAATAATTCACAATTTGTCTAGTGGAAACACAAAGATGGGTTGTTTTGAGTTCAGAGACTAAAATGATGACGATGGAATTGCTTCTCAACACTGAATAGTACTTGAGTTTCTAAGCCTGGTTAAAACTCAGCCTTTAGGCTAAGATTATCTCAAGGGTATGGTTGTTACATCTATGCTAAAAATTTGGGCTGGATTACATTTATAGACAATGGTTCAACCTACAGTTAACTATTCTTTCAGTTTGACAAGGTAAGATCAAGGCAGAGTGGTTAAATATCTGGTTTTCCCAATAAAACCTTAAGATGCTCAAAGTATCTGATATTAAGTCCAGAGGGAAAAGCACAGGGGTGAAAAAACAACCAAATATAGCAAATATAAGAAGCAGCAGACCAGACAAAAATTGTGATTTGTTTGTTTGTGTGTAAAGCTGACTGGAATTAAGTAGATTAAAAAATTGAGTTTCTGAAAAAATTGTGCTTCTGAAAGAAATGCCAATCAAAACTAGCTCACTTGTGTCCAAGTAAATTAAAATGGAGGCCAGACCTACAGAATCCCTATGCAGACAAAGCCAGTTGGGTCTCATATGACCCTAAAACTACTTGATTTACAAAGGTAAGCAAAAATTAACTTGAGCTATATTTTATAAATGCCTATAATAAAGAAAAACAGAACTTAAACTCAACCAATCAAGACAGCTAACAGGATAGCCAAACGTTTGATTGGTTAACTATAAGTGTGCTTTATTTGGTCTGTCCTGTGTTTTGCTTTTCTCCTGTGTGTGCCCTATAAAAGCGTCCATATGCATTCCTTCAGCAGAGCTCCTGAACCACCCCAGTTTGGAGCTTTTCAATTTATGGACCATCATTTGCAAATAAACTTAAAAAAAAAACTTTAGTGTGCCTTAGTTTACATTTTTAACACATGTTGAGCTAAACTCTGTGTTAGTCTGTTCTCATGTTGCTAATGAAGACATACATGAGACTGGGTAATTTATAAAGGTAAGAGGTTTAATGGACTCACAGTTCTACATGGCTTAGGATGCTTCTCAATCATGGGGGAAGAAAAAGAAAGAACTAAGGGATATCTTACACGGCAGCAGACAAGAAAGTGTGTGCAGGGAAACTCCGCTTTATTAAATCATCAGATCTCATGAGACTTATTTAATATCACAAAAACAACATGAAAAAGATCCACTCACATGATTCAGTTGCCTCCCCTGGGTCTCTCCTATGACACATGGGACTGTTGGGAGCTACAATTCAAGATGAGGTTTGGGGGGGGGGGACACAGCCAAACCATATCAAACCCTATTCCAGAGATATAGTTTAACATATTATGAAGACAAATGGGACATTACAAACAATATAAGAATCTCTGGAGTTTTTTTTCGATCCAAGATGGCCATTTAGGAACAGCTCAGGATCGCAGCTCCCAGTGAAAGCGCAGAGGGTGAGTGGACGCCACGTTTTTATTGCCCACAGACTAGGAAATTCCCGGGCGGAGGAGCTCCACGGTCGCCAGCGCGGCTGTTTCGGCCAGTGCGGCTGTGCCGGCCGGTGCCGCTGCTTTGCCCCACGTGGCTGCTTTGTCGGCGCCCCGGAGCAGCAGTTCTCCGTACAAAATACACCGGTCCGGGTGCCCTTTTGGCTGGCGATTGGAGCCATGGAAAGTTGCCCGTTCATCTGTTTAAAAAGGGGACAGAGCAGAGAACCAGGACAGTAGATTCCAGGGCAAAAAAAAAAAAAAAGCGCCACAAACCTCAGTGCCGCTGTTTAAGCCAGCGCAGTGAGTGGCCACAGGGGAAAACAAACAGACCCCGGTGCCTCTTCAACAGGCAACTGGAACACCAACTTAAAAAAGGCTCTGAGGCAGGGAGCTGGGCGATCAGGCTCAGCTGGTCCCACCCCCACAAAAGAACAG